CACGTTGTTTTATTTCTATAACAAGCTCTTCATACTTGGCTGTTTTGTAGCGTGACTGTATGTATGTATGTATGTATGTATGTATGTATGTATGTATGTATGTATGTATGTATGTATGTATGTATGTATGTATGTATGTATGTATGTATGTATGTATGTATGTATGTATGTATGTATGTATGTATGTATGTATGTATGTATGTATGTATGTATGTATGTATGTATGTATGTATGTATTTTGTTTGATCTCACTAACAAGCTCGTCGTACTAAGCTGTTTTCATAGCGAGGCTTGCTGCTATATTAGCCTCATACGGTACAGTCAGTTCGACTAGAATAACAGCGCCTGCTGATACCGACCGTACCACCACGTCGGGTCTCGCTCTTGTATCCTATATGGACGATGGGGAGTTCCTCAGGCCCTCCAAATCTGCCATGACCTTCCAATCTCTGCCGTTATCAAAAATACTTCTTCGGTTGCATACTTTATTTCTCGTGGTTCGATTCAACTCACCCTCTCTTAGGAAATAAATTTTTTTAGTTTACCTTGGCCACGGCGGCCTTGAACTTGCCTCTCCACAAACATTGAATATGAGATCCATTAGTATTATGTATGTATGATTGTTTGTTTGTTTGTTTGTTTGCTTGAATGTTTGTACGATATGAAAGTGTTAAATGTGGTTATGTATTTGCCTTATTAATTTTAGTATTGATAGTAGATAAACTGTAAACTGCATATAACACGTTCAATTGTTTGCCCGAAAAAATACATACAAACATACATACAAGCATAAATGCAAATATAAACACATGCAAGCAAACATGCAGGCACACCTTAACACAAATAAACGTGCAAGCATACACACACTCACACGCATACACACACGCATACACACACACACACACACACACACACACACACGTACAAACAAAGTACATCATAATGTAATGAAGAAATAACATTTCTTTCCCGATTAATCCTAATTTTTTGCCTTTATGAAAAATTGACAGAAAAATATAAAAATAATTTTTTATAAAATTTTCAAATTTCCATTTGAAAAATTTTAAAATTAAAATGCGCCTGAAGGCAAAAAACATTGTGCTTTTTTATAAAATAAGAATAATAATAATGGTGATGATGATGATGATGATAAACAAAAAAAACGAAATACTAGAAAATAAACAGACAAACAAGTGTTTACCGTTGTTCAACTAACTCGATACCAAGTGCCACAACAAACATTAAGAAAAATGTTTGCAAAGAAGAAGTTGAAGGATAGCAACAACTACAGCAACCACAACAACATCAACTACAACAACAACATCAACTACAGCTACCACAACAATAACAGCAACAACATCAACTAGAGCAGCAACAACAACTACATCAACAACAACAACCTCATCAACTACATCAACAACCTTATCAACAACATCAACAACATCATCAACATCAACAACAACTCCAGCTATTACAACAATCTCTAGAAAAAATTATGCAACCAAAAACATTTGTTGCAGTAACAACCACCCAACAAATAATAATAACAATAATCATAATTGAGTCATCTTCAATCCAAATTCTCTTAACTCTATAAAAAAACAAAACGTCAGAAAATATATCTCTGAATAAATGTAATAATAATAATAGTAATAATAATAATAATAATAATAATAATAATTACAACCTTAATTACGATTAATAAACAGATTATAAATGATACCATAAGCAATCCTTTGATTTTTTTAGGAAGTTTCAGCTGGTTTTTTTAATAATTGAAATGCTACTGATGTTATTTTATTAATTTGATAGCCTCTTTGATCTTTCATCCAATTCATAACTCTTTTTCATCCGTTTATCAATCCATCTATCAATCCATCTATCAATCCATCTATCCATCTATCAATCCATCCATCCATTTATTCATTTGTCAGATTGATTATTAATTAACTTTTGCAACAATAAATTCACTCATTCATCCACAAATATAACCATTTTTTTTATCTATTCATTCATTCATTCCCTCACTGACTCGTTCATTCATTCGTTCATTCGTTCGTTCCTTCACTCATTCCTTCAATTATTCATTCATTCGTTTTTTTGTTCATTCATTCATTCTTCATCCTGGTAAAATATTTCGCATGACTCACTTTTGTACTTTTGCTTTAAATCGAGCTGCCTCAGAAACATTCCAGTTGTTATTATTTTTATTATTATTATTATCACTATACATATTAATATTATTATTTATTTATTATTATAATTCTAATTAATAATATTATTCATATTATAATTATTACTTTTGTTGTTGTTGTTATTATTAATATTATGACGAGGTATAATTTTTTTTCGATTTAGTTACGACTGATTTACTGGCGAGTAATAGATGAGTCTTATCTTTGATTCGAATGTATGAATAATTTGTTGTTATTATTATTATTACCATAATTATCATAAGTAGTAGTAGTAATAGTTGTTGTTGTTGTAGAAGTAGTAGTGG